ACTAACGCCCACTTTGACCGCTAAAAACCTCGGCGTCACACTCGACAGCCAACTCTCCCTGACTCCCAACATCACAGCGACAACGCGATCCTGTAGATACACGCTCTACAACATCAGGAGAATACGTCCCCTTCTCACTCAGAAGGCAGCGCAGGTACTGATTCAGGCTCTTGTCATCTCCCGCCTGGACTACTGCAACTCCCTCCTGGCAGGTCTCCCTGCCACCGCCATTCGACCTCTGCAGCTCATTCAGAATGCAGCAGCTCGACTGGTCTTCAACCTTCCGAAATTCTCCCACACTACTCCACTCCTCCGCTCTCTTCACTGGCTACCGGTGGCCGCCCGCATCCAGTTCAAAACATTGGTGCTCACGTACCATGCTGTGAATGGATCGGGTCCAGCTTACATCCAGGACATGGTCAAACCCTACATCCCAACCCGTACTCTCCGCTCTGCATCTGCAAAACTACTCGTCCCTCCCTCACTGAGAGCAAAACTCTCGACTAGGTCTCGACTCTTCGCTGTCCATGCGCCGAAATGGTGGAACGAGCTCTCTGAAGACATCAGGACCGCAGAGAGCCTTCACATCTTCCGCCGCAAACTAAAGACACACCTCTTCAGACTCTACCTCGACTAAAGACTAACAAATTGTGCACTTAAATTGTACTTGTAACGTCACTCATCTATAGCAAATTGTAAATTGGCTTATTTGAGGAAATTGCACTTTCTTGTTTCTTGTTCTCCTGAGTTTGTACCCTATGGTTGAATGCACTTATTGTACGTCGCTTTGGATAAAAGCGTCAGTTAAATGACATGTAATGTAATGTAATTCCATTAATGCCATGCCAATAAGTTTTCCATCTTCCCTCCTGTTTTTGAACCTTGATCAGAACAACATGCAGCACCATGTACAGGATAACTGCAGCGTGCGAAATGTCAATGGGGGAGAGGTTTTAGGCCCACCACCCCACGGGTACATAGTGTGTACAAAGTGTATGATTTGATAACTACTACAATCCTGTCGAGACAGACTGAAAAAAACTGTTCTATAAAGAGTGTGTGAAAATAAACACACAGTACCAATCAAACGGTTAGACACACGTTTGGACTTGAATGAGAAGATATGGCCATCGGTACTGTATGTAGCACCATTTGACTTCCGTTATTTAAAAATAATAATTTCCGCTTTTAGCTTTAAGCTTTCCGCATTCCAACGCATTTTCTACAGGAAATGCATTTTCTAGTTATTCACGGTATACTTCCGTTGCGTACGCCGTTGCTAGGTGACCAAACATAAACTACCAAACCGTTGCCTGGTTTCGGGTCACATTTTAACCCGATGTCGGGACGTCCTTGGATGGCAAAGGCGAAGCAATGAACTAAAACAGCTCCTCGCTAATCGAGCTAAAGTTACAAAACACTGGCCAATAGATAAAATAGCCAATATTAATTTTACGAAGAATACCATTAATATAACTAACAATGATGGTGGGGATTATAATTGTGTTGGAAAACAAAGAAGGGGAACCTTTGTAGGCTATATTGTTCGAGGGAATTTAATTGATGGAGCTCACAACATCTGGGCCACCATATTTGGACCACATCCATGTTGAGAACGGGCGGTGCTGAGTCGGCACCATCATAAAGCTACAGCAATAGCCCTATATCGCGCCCCTTTAGTAGAGAGGATGACTCGAGTGAACCGGTTCAATTCCCCTGTCCCTGACCACGAGTACCTCGGTAGGATCTGTGTTACCTGTCCACAGCTAACGTTAGCTTCTTCTCGTCGCTAGCTATGTCTATGTCATCGCTTTTTCTCATGAGTATTTTGTTATGAAGCTACCCGTAATTAACGTTAACCCCCCTGTTGCTGTGTGTGTGTGTGTGTGTGTGTGTGTGTGTGTGTGTGTGTGTGTGTGTGTTGGCCTCAGCGGACGGGGACGTGCTGTTCTACCTGAGGGACGCAGTGACCCAGCTCCTGGACCACCAACAGGAGTACACCACGTTCGGGCTGATCCGCTACTTCGCTGAATAGTATGTCCTACACTGTTAGTCTAATGGTTACCCACTTCATCTTACCAACTAACTAACTAAAACATTTTCAATTCACTACAAATTGCAAACCTCCTCGGTACCTTTTTTATCTGTTATTTGGTGTCCATTATAATCACAATCATTCAATTACTATTGTATTTGCTGGTGTTTTGTGTTGGAATTGTTTACTAAACCACTGATTGTTAATTAAACAGATTCTAAAATACAATCTACATGACTATTCTAATCTACAGACTATTCTAAATGTGATGTGGAAAGTCTACTCTTTTTTTTTTAATGGTCTGTTTGTCTTTACAGCACAGTATTTGTCTCTACATTTTTGTAATACAAAAATGTGATTATATTTAAGAGAGCATCTTGTCTTTCATTTTTACTGACTGATAGTGTGAATTTTGAGTTTGACTTGACTTTGTATTTATTAATTACTGTGTATGTTTGTAGTTTCAGCAGTGTGAAGAACAGTAACCATGTACTCTTCAGAGAATATAACTACATCAGGGCCACTCCCCATAACAGGGCCTCCTTCATCCGAGTCTTCTGGAGATGTTACAGACAGATTGGCAAAAGCGGTGGTGAGTTAGAGGAATAATTGGAATGCAAACCTTTTGTGTTTGGGTTCTAGTTTGATTGTTGTAGTCATTAAATAATTTCCCTATTCTCTAGATAAGGCTGCGTTTGTTATTACATGAACATAGTTATTGTAGACTGTAAAATAAGTTGAGTAAATGAATAATAAAGTAAAAAACTAATTTACCGTAGTATACTTTCATTTTGTTTCCAAATACTAATTCATTGACATGTTGAGTCCAGTGGATTTGACTGTTGTTAACATTGAAATTAGAGCTTCACTGTGGTCTGTTCTTTAAATATCATGCGTTGTATTCCAGACTTACTGTCCACGCTGGAGTACAGGTCGCTTCTGCAGTTATTGTGTCCAGACTTCCCTTTGGAGATGGTGCAGCGTGCAGCCAGGTCACTTCAGACACTCATATATGTTATTATTTCTTTGAGCTGTTGCTTACCAATCCAAAGAGGTCACACCTTTGCAACGCTAACATTGCATTCTGCCTTTTCAATTATCTTGAAAAAAATAACATGAGGTACATGCTGTTGAGTAAAGAGGATGGTGACTGGACTAACTAACTAAAGTTCAGTGGAGACATCCAGGGCTTGACATTAATTAACATTTTTGCTCACCCGCCACTGTGGCTAGTGGTTTTTCTGGGGTCAGCAGAACAGAGCCTCCGCTCGTTTTAAGAAGAATTAACTGCTTTGAGTTTTAAAATGATAAAAAATGTAGTAACTAACAGAAGCTATACAATTACAAAGTGAAATACGGTATGAATAGTATAATGCTTCGCAAAATATAGAAGTCCCCTCGTCCAGTATGGCTATCAATATTGGTTCACAGGAGGCTTCTGTCTGGGGGGGCTTTTAGGCACATACTGTTTTTTCTTTGATATGTTACTGGGTTATTTAATTGTTTTTTGACCAGTTCACCACTGCACTTATAAATAGTTTTCTGCTTTGTCTTTTCTTCTCCTTTTAGAATTGTTCAGATGGAAGATGTCGTAGACTGTCTGATGTCTTTTTCTGATTTCCTTTATGCCCTCCAGCTGCATTTCTACTACCCAGGTACAATAAAAGCTTAATATGGCTCTGTGCAGTATTTCCAGGCGTAATCAGTTCACTCAGTTTGGCTAACATAGGAGTGTTTAATGGACAGTACACCCCAAAAATCTAAACTACACATTTTGCATCTTACCTGTAATGCTATTCATCCATGTATATCCTAAATACATAGTTTTAGTATGGGATGCCAGGTGTTGGAGTTATCACCCGTTGAGACGTCTTCCTGCTCTTCAATGTCCATCTAACTCTCTCCGACAGAGCACTATCGTTTCTACATGAAGCTGCTCACCACAATGTCTGGATTATCTTGAGCAACCGGTTCCCAATTTTGTTTTGGTGGTTTAAGCACTATTTATTCCCATTACATTGAAGAGAAGGGAGACGTGTCTACGGGCGACATCTCATTGAATCTCACTGAGGTCCTAACTATTGCAGATATTGACCAATGCTAAGATTACAGACGATTAGCTAGTGCCTAATGATCCCAGAATAGGATTAACATGAAGTCCCTGTTCTGTTCAACACTAAGCAAAACTATGTTGTTACCACAGAGATATTATTTGGCTCACATAACAGCAAACAGCAAGCTCTTCCATTCAGCTTTAGTACCTCATCATTTTTACCAAAGCTGAATAGATGAATAAATAGTATTACAGCTAAAATGGAAAAAGTTTGTGTTTGTCTGTCTTGTCTTCGTGAATGATGAAAATAAACAGTTTGTGTTTAGTAGGTGTTCTGTTACACAAATGGTAAATATTTAATATTTGGATTGATTATTATTTAGTCCATTACATTTCAAAATAAAAAGCTATCTTTCATTAATGTGTGAAGAGCAATCTTAGCTTAGAGGTAAGCCACATGGAGCTGTATCAAATTTGGCTGGTCCTCGGAGGGTAGTGGTGGGGGGCAGTAGATCGCCATGACTTGGTCGGTTGAAAAGTAGTTTGCGTGCCATAATGTGTGGGCACCCCTGACTCTAATCCCCACAGAATTTACTCTCCTGTTTCTGTAGAGTTCCTGAACAGCATGCTGCTGATCTACCAGGATCTGTTAGCAGGGAAGAGTCCCAACACCGTCATCGTTCCCACATCCACCTCCATCGACCTGCTCCGTTCTGTGGCTGCAGAGAACATCAGCAAGGAAAAGCAGCAGCAACAGCAGGACGGAGTAGACCCGTCCACTCTAGCTCAGTGCATTGATGCCCTCTGTGACAGGTTCAAACACAGGTAAAACATTTGTTTGGGGTCTCATTCCTGTTTAAATACAAATCTGGTCCCACTGCGCCAACCAGATAGGATGGCATGTTGCTGCAGAATACTGGTCAAGTATGCCTTGGATTTGTGTTGTGTTCAGAGTTGGTATTCTACATTCCTTGGTTGTAACGAGAGGTTATTTGAGTTACGGGTGCCTTTCTATCATCTCAAACCAGTCTGCCCATTCTCCTCTGACCTCTAACATCAACAAGGATTTTTTGTCCACACAATTCTCTATAAACCCTAGATGGTTGTGCATGAAAATCCCAGTACATCAGCAGTTTGTGACCTTAATCAGACCACTCCGTCTGGCACCAACAACCATGCCGCGTTCAAAGTAACTTAAATCCCCTTTCGTCTCCATTTTGATGCTCTGTTTGAACTTCAGCAAGTTGTCTTTACCACGTCTACGTGCCTAAATCATTGAGTTGCGGCCATCTGATTGGTTGATTAGCAATTTGTGTTAACAAGCAATTGAACAGGTGTACCTTATAAAGTGTCCGGTGAGTGTACACTGAAGCCTTGAATAATTTTGTAACTAGCAATAGACACATCGGCATTTAACTCTGACCATGCACAAAGGCAGTGGAGTTGACACCCTATAGGCACTTTGAGAATGCAGGTTCAACAGTCCGTACATAACTGTTACAACATGAAATTAGTTTTTAATGAAAATCCTTTTATGTATAAATCACAAATTACATTTGTGGATCACTCCGTGTTCATTCATTGATACTGAGAGTGCTCTGACCTCGTGGTGTTGTGGCTGATTTTTTTGTTCCTTTGTGAAGTCATCCCCCCAGGTCCTGCATGAGGGAAGTACTTGGACAGACTAACAAAGTCTATTACTACAGCTTCCTAATGAGCCTGGCCAAACACGAGAGCATCAACCAAACTATTGGTAGGTTTCAACAGACAAAGTGGTAGGATTACTACTGGTACTGCTACCACTACTACTATTACTGGCACTTTTACTGCTACTACTACTGCTACTTTTACTGCTCCTGCTACTTCTACTGATAATGTTCCTTTTATTGCTACTACTACTACTACTACTACTACTTCTACTGATAATGCTAAAGCTACTACTACTACTAGTAGTTCTACTTATTATACTGCTACTTCTACTGATAATGCTACTGCTATTGCTAGTTCTACTAATAAGATTAGTACAGGTATTTGGATTTACTCAAACTTTCCTCCCTTAAAATGGCGGCCACAAGATACTCTTTAAAAGGTTACTTTTAATCTGTTAATCTTTAGTTCAGTTCTTTGGTGTCATCGTTATAAGCTTTCTACATTACGCCGTCAATATCTATGGATCATGCAAAATATTAACTTGTTCAACGTAAAACAACAAGGGACTACTGTCCTATAATGAGTTGGCAATGAGTTCAAATTACTAGTTTTTTTTTTGTTATTAGTCATAGTTATTAATTCTGATGGTAATCCTATTATTATGTTTACGAGATTAACTCCACTCAACTACTGTCTGACCCTTTCTACACTAGGCTGCCTAACTGTTATTGGGTTTTCATCGATAAGGGACAGTGCTGTAAATGCTTAGCCAAAACACAAATTTTCCTCTGTAGTCCCAAGTGGCAGATATTACAAAATAAACCTAAAAATAAGAAGATGCGATTACATTTTAAACAATATATAATTAGAAACCTTGACGCTCCCTGTCATCCCTCTATCCCTAGGGGCACTACCCAGCAGGGCAGAGTTTCTCATTGATCCAGAGATGGACCAGGACCTGGACAAACTGTGAGAGCATGCTGCCGCCTATTATGGTTGCTCTTGTCTGTTGTCGTATACTTTTCTTTTCTTGTTTTTTCTGTGTATTGGTTGTGTCCATTTGTCTATGAATTTAATTTTAATTTAATTTAATAAAGTTAAATAACATGCTTTTTTTAAAGGTCTCCTCAATGTTTTCTAATTTTGTTGTCCTCCTTTTCTTTGGCTTTTACTTCCTGTCTCACTTTGCCTATCTTTCTTTCTCCTTTTAACATCTCGTTCATTTCCCGGTGCGTTCCAGAATTGCTCAGATCTCAGTAAGTCCCAGCAGCAACAGCAGCGGTAGTGCGGTGGGGGGGCTGAAGGAGGTGCACAGGAGAGCCTCCCCCAGGAGGAACATCCACCACAGGAGGAAGATTGAGGTGGAAAGCGATGGTTCCACGGAAGAGACCGACTCCTCTGAAAACTGACCTCTTTCAGTAGTCTGACACCTCCCCTTTCATCTTAAGTGGTGTGGTTTATGTCACAACTTTCATGTAAACCCAAAATAGTACTGGACCACTCCAGAGAACACTCCAGCTAGCAACAGACCGTCTGCTTTTCGTCCACCAGTGATGTCCAGAAAAGGGAAATGAGTCTTCATGAGGACCCTTGCACTCAAGATGGACTGATTATGCTATGTATTATTGGCCTACAGTATGTTCTGCTCATGTGATAGTCTCATGCACACGAACATGTAACTGCTCTGGAGCAATTTTTAATTTTACTGCGATCTTAAAATTTACAGTTAGGAGTATATTTTATTTTGCTAACAGTGAGTGGTATAACTACGCTGAATTACAGTTCACACAATTCTACCTGAAATTTGATTGTTATATTGGAGAAGACTCATGATAGCATACCATAATGAAACCAATACATTACATTAAGACTGTTCGCATTTCATTAGACTAGATTAGTGCCTCTCTTCTATTAAAAGGTCCTTTTTTGGCTGTATTGGTTTATTTGTTAAAACCCCGACCATTTTCTTTGTTTTTGGTCTGAGTTTTACATAAATACTTCACACATCAAAGCCATGCTGTCATTTCATTTATTGTCCACTTGATGGCGCAGTAGAGCAAACGAAACACCATGAAGCTTCGGCCCATGTATGACACAATTGGATGGAAAGCTTCAATGCTTCATAAAGCTTCATCTCGCCATCACTACTTCAACTCCCAGCCTGGACTCGCCACCTGGTTTGGCTCCTACCTGGTTTGGGCCTCCCTGGGGCACTGGGTCTGAGGCACAAACCAGAAGGGTCACCAATGGCCAAATGATTATTTCTAAAACGCGGATAAAACTATATACCAGCTCAATGGGTTGTCAAACCGGACTCCGACACGGAAAGGCACAGCGTGCTCCTGTAATCTTTTTGTTTTACAGCGGTTGGCATCCATCCTATTGGTGCATTACCACCACCTTCTGCTCCGGAATATGGACCAGACAATACCCTAAAGGCCGGCGCATGCTTCTGCGTTTGCGTCTGCCTCGACGCACTCAATTCATGGTTCTGCGTGTGTTGCAGAGCAATTCACCGCCAGAACAACATGCGGAGTGACGTGTTTTGTTGAAGACGACCTAGAGAGTCACGTCTATTTATTTGTTTGTTTATTTATCAAAGACTTTATTGCCCCGTGCATCGCCACTGCTGATTTTTATCGCGGACACATTTGTCCCGTATTTTCTTCCACAACTTTGTGCACCTCTCGACCGGCAAACCGGCATTTGCGGCGATCTCCCTCCGTGAATCCAACCCGCTTCTACAACCCGCCAATGACGGCTTGTAGAAGCGGTCATATTTACGCATTTATTCCGACAAAAGTTCTTAAATCTGATCCGTTCTCTCGTAAACATTCTTCGTTTTAATAATGGCGGTATCGGGCTATGAAAGCGGAAATGTGAGACTCCGTAAAGGATGTAGTTAGTGGACCAATCGCAGCCTGGTGCGCTGCGGGAGGCTTGCGTTGCTTGCGTGGCTCGACACACGCAAGGACGCAAGGAGGTGTGAAAAGCGACGCAAGGGACACGCAAGGGGGGCTTGCGCCTGCGTCGCTCTGAAAACGCAGAAGCATAAATCAGGCTTAACCCTCTTTACCCCAAAACAAAAGGAAATAAATAAAATACAAATACAATACTGTCTGGTCTTTCCCTATCATTTAGGTGCACAACGACCCAACCGTAACCTTGTCAAAACAGTTAGTTCTCTCCTATTCCCACCTTAACTTTGATGCTCTTTTGAATGTGTTTGAATTGTCTCCCTTTCTCTTCCCTATTCCACCTATCTTGCCACATTTTATTGATATTTTCCCAGTTAATACGCCTGACCTCTGCCTTACTAATATTAACCTTCATCTCTATGCTCCCTTTCTTTAATGCCATGCTCCTGTAGTGTCATTATGTGCAGCCTTTATACCCATACTAATCAGCAAACCAGGAAGTAGGAGGGGCCTGAGCCTACAGCATGTCAGGAGGGACATTTTCCCACTGCCTACATTTATATATATATCTATGCTCTCACCAGGGAAAGCTTGTATGATTTGCCAGAGGTCTATACAAAGGAGAGGATGGTAAATGGACTGTACTTGTATAGCGCTTTTCTAGTCTTCCGACCACTCAAAGCGCTTTAACACTACATGACATCATTCACCCATTCATACACTGATGACAGGAGAACCATACACAGTGACACTTGCCATCAGTAACTAACATCCACACACTATAGTCGCAGCTACAGGAGCAATGTTGGGTTAAGTGTCTTGCCCAAGGACACAACGACATGTGGGTTAGCCGGGCCTGGGATCGAACCAACAACCCTCTGATTGGAGGACGACCGTGCTCTCCACTCACCCACACACAGTCGTATTTGTGTTGCGGTTTTTCAATGTTGAGTCTGTTGTTGGACATGATGGAGCAGCTGAGTATTGCAAAGCAACCGAGCACCAATACCTTTCAGACATACGAGTGGCAGCAAGTAACAATGTCCAGTTGTAAATGTAATTTATTGACAAGATTATCCACCGTTATTTTCACCTGCATCCGTCTCTGCGTTTTACAACATCGATATCATGGGGTGTTACACCAACACCAACAGCATACAATGATAACTCTTAAACAAACACACATACATACAGCATCTATACTTGATATAACTACACCGATGAGTGATGTTGTTAGAATCAAAATAGTGGAATACAAAGAAGGGACTCTTTCTGATGGAACAGAACAACTTCCTTTGGTGCATGGATGGCTGGCATGTGGTGACTTGAGGACCCTGACATAGCTTGTCTTTCTTCCACGTTTACATTAATTTTCATTCACTTCAGTTTTGTGTCATTTGTTATAATAAAATTCTTATCTGTTTAGATTTTAGCCAATTTCTGTTGCATTGGTGAAGTATTCTATCCCAGTCACACATGAGAGATTCAGTTTGGCTGATTTGAGGTGGGGCAGTATGAGGTTCTTTTTTATTCTCTGTGCGTCTTCTACTGAAGACAGTGGTCGGCCAGTCCACAGTTTGAAGAAGCAGAGAGGAGTACTAGCACTGGAGCAAAGTAGTGTACTGGAGATACTCTAGCCAATCCACAAGAGAACATATGTAAGTTGCACTTTCCCAATTGCTTAGAGTGGACTGCCCAATGGCAAAATAAAGCAGTGGAGATACCCTAAACATGGCAAACACGTATATGGATATAGATTTTTCTAAGTGTGCCTTTCTTTTCTGAGGCTATTTTGACAGAAGTATAGTGCTTTAACTGTTGTTTTTCCAAACTGTACACTGACTGAATATGACCTCATACAACCACACTTCCAAAAACCCAGAGACCCAGACATTGGCTGTCAGGTATGGCAGGTAAAGATTAAAAAAAAGCAAAGGTCTGTCATATGTAAAAGTTTTATTTTAAACTGATTTTATACCAATACTTTCAGACAGAAGCTGCATGCCTTGTAGAAATGTAAATGTATTAGTTTTATTAATTAATTTTTATCCAGGCAAGGCTACAAACGTAGCAAGATTATGAGAGAAGAACCTCTACAAAAATATCTCAGCTACTATTAATACTGCTAACGGAATTAAAATACATTTGTGCAAAACCTCACCAAAATGTTTCATTTTATTATCTTGGATTAATGTCCTCCCAGTGAAAACGTATGATTGACCAGTTCTCCAGTAAATATGTAATCAATTGACTTAGAGACCAACCAGCCCCTTTTTGCAGTAAAACGTTGGTTAGCCTAATAATATCGTCAGTAACATGGTTTAACATTCCATGCCAGTCATCTTAGGTAGACTACTCATCTGGATGAGATGGACAGTATGTATCAAAATCCCATGATCACAGACATTAGAGGTCAAAAGTTCAACACTTCTTCCTCAGGACAAAAGCAATTATTTTATGAAGACATAAAATTTCAAGCTTCATTCCATTGACTTTTACGTACTCAAATCTGTTTCACATCCTGATGTTGAAGCTGCATTAATAGATTTGCAAGCTACTTGAGGCAACAGGACAGGCTTAAAACAAAACTTTGGTATACAAGCAGTAGTGTCTAGCAAGTTAGCAAATGTTTGTCTCTTATCATCAATCAGCAATATTACATTACAGGTCATTTAGCTGACGCTTTTTATCCAAACTTACAACTTACACTACATTTTTAACCCATGGCTCTTACATTTTGCCCGGGGAGCACTTAGGGGTTAGGTGTCTTGCTCAGGGACACTTCAACATGGGGCAGCCAGGACTCGAACCACCAACCTTGTAGCTCCAAGAGCACCCTCTCTACCCCCTGCGCCACATATGAGAAATATAAATCCAATATGTCTGCATTTCTTTGCATTTTATTTGGTTTCTCTCTTAAGCTGCTGAATGGTCCACTATGTTCACCAGATAATTGACAATCTATAGTGTAAGGTGGGTCAATCAGAAACAATTAGCTGAAAATGGCTGCCTGCTGCTCTCAGAAGAGATGTTGTTCGGAGTATAGTTTTCCTGCTGGAAAAGCCAAAAAAGCCTCTGTTGCATAAACCATCTCTGGTTCCACACTATGAGAATCTCCTTTTACATTGCACATTGCCATTTGAAAAAACAAGACGGAACTGCATGGAAATAAAGTCTTGTTGCTTAGATAACCCAGTCAGAGAGCAAGTTCATTATTTCCTCTTTATATATTCAAGTATGAATGTAAAAATTGTCTAATGAGCAATATATGTTTCCATGCTGACTTGAGCACAATGTGGTCTTAGATTTAAGCAGGCTATACAGAAGAGCTGTGAGCTGAAGGCTATGTGGACAGGCATGGACACAACTGCACAGGGGTCAACTTTCTCACCAGGCAGTTCTTTTGCACATTTACTAAATTGCACAGCGTCGTTTGGGCCTTGTTTGTCACGGTTTGGGTTCATGTCCTGTTTTATTTGGTAGTTTATTGCCTCTTGTCTCCCTGTAACGTCACTTCCTGCCTTGTCCTGTCATCTCCCTGTGATTGTCTGTCATGTCATGATTGTTTCCACCTGTGTCCAATCACCTGCACCTTCCCAGTGTATTTAAGTCATGTGTGTCTCTTTTCACTTGTTGCGTCATTGTTCATTGTTGAATGTCCGGAAGTCCATGCCACAGTGTTCCTTGTTCTTGTCTGCGTTTTTGCCCCTTGGCCTTTTGCTTTTGGAAATTTTGCCTATTCAAGTATTTTTGTTTTTTGAACTCTGCATTTGAGTCCTGCCTTCTTTGTGACATTGTTATTACAGAGTGAAAGGACATTGAATTACTCAAACCAGAGTAACCATGAAGGGTTAGGTGAAAGTGTAGTTGAAGGAAAAGGATCATTAAGCAGCCAGCAGAGAAATTACACACCATAACATCTTCTCAAAAGGTCTTCAACAGTAGATTGTCAAGTCAGAGGGTAATAAGATACAGAAACATAGGTCAACATTTTTAAAACCTTAGTCTATCCTCATTAAAACAAGCATTTCAATTACTGTTTTTCATATTCCCTTAAATTGTTGCAAATATCAGTGACTGGAATTCTAGTTGTTTCACCCAAGTTAATGTTGTTGATCTATACATACTCAACATTAGATATCCAATTTGGTGAAAAGCATGAATGCTAACTGAGGGACCTGCTCTTCACATTAGTTATTTACACAGCTGAAACTGTGTAATACACATAAGCCCTAAAGAATTTGCTAGGTTTTGTTACTTTTTATTCTATATTATATCTTAATTGGAAAATGTAACATCACAAGAGTTTCCTTAGAATCCAAATTACGGTCCGAAGTTTTTATCCAAATTGCCAGTTTTAAAGACTGGAATTGAAACAGTTTAATCCCATGTGACTGTCAATATGAGTCCAAACTATGACAATGTTTGTCAAATGTACACATACTAGAACTCAAGCTACAGATAGAGATTGTTTCAATCAAGTGCATCCTTCATGCCAAGTCATAAAGATTTAGGCATTGTTGTCGGCAAACAATTTTTAATTGTTTCCTGTTTGTTTTTTCATTTTATTGAATAGTCAGATAATGATTATGATAATGCTCACATGGCTGCTAATGCTTGTTTTTCCGATACATGATATGAAATGGTTAATCAAATCAACCAAAAAGGTCCAGATTAATTATCATACGATTCACCTATGGTGGCAAGTTAATGAAATGACGAAAAGGATTCTGTCATTACATAAAATCCTGTAAGCTGTTTATACGGTTTTACATCCAATTTCAACCACGTAAGCCATAAAACATTTACAAAACCCATTTTTGTATTTGAATTTAGTTAGGGCGCATGTCGCATTTGATCCCAGTGTGTGGAACGTGTCATCTTATCCAGTCCATCCATGGAAACATTTGTACTGTGACATGACCAAGGTAAGGACAAGCTTGTTGTATCACTGGGTAATGGTAAGGAGAGATGTCCTGCGTGCAAAGACAAACAAGTAATCAAATTCGTTGTGTAACACCCGGCTGATATGCACATGGTGAGTATTCAATGCATAATTAGGTGGGGAGAGGTGCTACTCAATAAAGATGTCTTCAGTGGGACAGGAGAAGCCAATGTTCTCCTTGTAATACTGCTGGAATGCCCTCCTGTGGAATACCAGAGAAGAGAATACCGAGATAATAGACGATAACACACAGCTTTTGCGTTGTATATTCTCAAACAAACTGGATACAGAGCAAGATTTTTTCCAACTTCTGGCCTGACTGACATTATAGATATTATTAAAATAAATACCATATGAATATAACTACTATTTTCATTGAAATTATGTAGATCCTTCACTTAAAGTTACAACAAGGAACTATCATTTTGTGTTGATTCAGCAGGTCCCAATGGAAGGACGTGGTAGTGTTTATGTGCACCAGATTTAATTTAGAACCGTAAACCGGGTTGAGGCGTGGACCTCCGGCAGCATGGTGTGGGACACTTTGCTCCAATCAGTCATATAGTGCCAGGTGAAGTAGTCCCAAACACAGCACTGTCAACCACGAGGCCACTGTTCAACACTGAGTTCAGGATTTATGGTTGTGGTTGTTGCCTCAACCTGTGCTTCAGCAGAGTGATGTTGTGGTTTGCTTCCAATGGGAACCAACTGTTGCATAGGTCATTAAAAGTTCCTCACAGTAACTTTATGTAAAAGACACAATAGCTTGCCTGCTATTAAGCTGATTGCACATTTTGTATATACGATCTTAAAGTAACAAATCAATTTTGCTTTTAAATGAATATCATTATTCAACTTTAGCAATAAACTAGGGGAGTACATGAGGTATGGTTTTCCCCTGTGTAATGGAGTAGAAGCATAAAGTAGCATAAACTGGAGATACTCAGATGAGGGTAAAGTACTTAAAGTATGTTTCAGAATACTCCAAAAGTAAAAGTCAGAAATGATGTATACAACAGAGTAGAAATGGTTAGAGCACACAATACAATAGGTCTTACCCCACAGATACGGCCAAAGGATGTGATGTTGTCTCTGACATCATCACATGACAGGCAAAACGCTGTTGGTCAGGGTGCTTGGTGATGATACCAAAATACCTGCAGTGGAATGATCAGCATTGCTCAGGAAAGGTAAAGATCATTTTGAGTTAAACCTGCTAATGGAATGTAGAAATCGATGAAGTAATCCGACTCACTTGTTGTGTTGTGGATGACAGCCACAGAATGAGATGTTCTTCAACTGGAAGAAATGGAAACACTGGTCCCCCTGATAGACGGACACGCAGAGCGAGACATAGATGTTCTAAGTTTTAAATGTTCTATCTGGGATTTTTATCAAAATTGTCTTAAATAAATACATGAGCTTAGACATGTAGTTCACTTACCCTATGTGCAGAGTGACACTGGTCTTGGACACTGATCTTCACACCCTTTACACTAACCTCCAGCACACAAGCTAAAGGAGTCTGACCTGCTAACCGCCTGTTAGACACCACCTTAAACACAAATAGTAAATCAGTTAATAAACATACATTGTTTATCAGTGGCACAGTGTGATGTCAATAAATATACTTGAGATGGGTCAGTGTTGTTAGGCCAGTCTTTGGGTCATTATCATCTGACACCGATGTTTATGTTTGTGACGGCCACGCGGGGAAGGTGCAGGCAACAGATTGACACACTTACAAGAAGGGCTGTGCACAAAGTGAAATCATAATGTAAGACATTAGGGGAAAGGAAAAAACTTGTGTCTTTACAAACTAAGCTGGAGGCTTTAAGTGTCCTGTAATGTTATTAATAAGGATTTGAACCCTGCAACAGGCACAGCGTTCAGCATTGATAACATACTGAATTTGAGTCACTTATAGGCTCAGTGGATGGTTTGGGTTATTTTTCTAACTTCGTTACGTTCGCCCTTTCACTATGGGAATTTCTTCGGTGTGACCAACTAAGGACGCTACAATGATACCACGTCTGTCAGTGACAGACAGGTTGAACTGTGTTGGGGCCCCGCCCCCTCATGTTACCACTGTCGACCGCCCCTCGCAAATCATTCTCGTCTTCTTCCCGTGAAGAACCTATTGCACCCTCAGCTTATCTTGGCTAGCTTGGATTTGCTGCTTAACAGTTCACAGACAACCCATTAAGGACACGTCGCCGAACCCAGTTCCTGGCTCTAGTCTGGATTTGCTGGGTAAGTACTTCATAGGAAGTATATTGAGTTACAACACAGTAATAAGGCAGTGTCCGTGTCAAGGCGAGCTGTTCTCCCGACTGCCCGGTATTTGGTTACCGGTGTCTATTTATTATCTCTGGCTAACGCGTTACGGTGAGCCTAACAGGTCTCGGGTAGCATTAGTTTGCTAGTCGAGACAAATACCGCTAAGCTTGGCTAATTGTTCATAAATTTCCCTCTCAGTTGCCATGTCAGCCGCTACCCCTGCCAATAGGTCAGTACCGAAGGCTAAAGAGACAACAAAACTGTTACAAGTTCACTTATTATTGATTTCCATCATTTGGTTTAATGTTAGGTCCTGTCATTAACCAACGTAATTCTCAAATCTGTAGGTAGTTTCAAAGACGGACATTTGCTTTCAAAGGTGGTCTTGCCCTGGGCGCCATTCAATGCAGAACCGTCCCTGGATGAGTGGCGTTACAAGTACAATTTAAGTGCTACAATTTGTTAGTCTTTTAGTCGAGGTAGATTCTGAAGAGGTGTGTTTGTTAAATCAAGAATAGAATTTAAGGTACTTCTCCTCACCTACAAGGCACTTGCTGGTGAGGCACCGTCTTATCTTAAAGAGCTTGTAACACCGTATTGCCCTACAAGGCAGTTGCCCAGGGGTACTTGTTGTTCCTAGGGTTTTAAAAAGTAGGATGGGAGCCAGAGCCTTCAGTTATCAAGCTCCTCTTTTGTGGAACCAGGTCCCACTTCCAATCCCGGTGGCAGATTCGGTCAGCTCTTTTACGATAAATCTTAAAACTTTCCTCTTTGATATTGCTTTTAGCGCTGGCTCAGGTTAGCCCAAACCAGCCCTCAGTTAAGCTGCTATAGGCTTAGACTCCCGGCGGATACACCAAGCTCCTGTCTCACGCTCTCTTTCTACAATAATCCATGTTTTATTAATGCACATGACTAATTCGGCTTCTTTTTTTGTGCTTTCTCCCCAAGCAGGTCTCCGTTATCACAACTCAGACAGAGACCCAAACGCAGATATGAGGAATAAGGTTTAATGAAGAGGAATACGGGCAGGCAGTGTCGTTGTCGGAGGCAGGCAGGAGTTCGGTGCACGGGAGATCAGGGGTTCAGAGGTGGCAGGCAGTGTCGTTGTCAGAGGCAGGCCGGAGTTCGATACACAGGACGTCGGAGGTACAGAGGTGGCAGGCCGTGTCGTTGTCGGAGGCAGGCAGGGGTCAGTACACGGGGAATCTCAAGAATCGACTGGAAACTACTGGGATATAAACGCTGGTAAGACCTGGTGAAACACACAAGACGAACTGGCAACAAGAACAGGGAGAAGACACAGGTTATATGCCCAAGGGATAATTGACAAACAGGGAACACCTGGTGTGGGAGGAGACAGGGGAAAAACAGGTGAAAACGGGTGAACACAATTAGGGCGTGACAGTACCCCCCCTCCTAGGGGCGCCACCTGGCGTCCTACCTGGTGCCGTACCTGATTGACGGGGGTGGCGACAGCGAAAGTCGGCGATGTGGGAGGGGTCCAAGATGTCCCTGGAAGGAACCCAGCAACGCTCCTCCGGTCCGTAGCCCTCCCAGTCAACCAGGTACTGGAAACCCCTGCCACGCGGTCGGACCCTCAGGAGACGCCGCACTGTATAGACTGGGCCCCCGTCAACCATCCGGGGAGGCGGCCGAGGAGGTGGGGGGGGGGGGAGGCGACAAAGGGACACAGGTTTAATACGGGAGACATGGAAGGTGGGGTGTACTCTAAGGGTACGAGGAAGGACCAAACGGACAGCAGAAGGATTGATGACCCTGGAGATGGTAAATGGGCCGATGAACCGGGAAGACAGTTTCTGGGATTCCACACAGAGAGGCAGATCCCGAGTGGACAACCACACTCTCTGCCCCCTACGGTAGCGAGGAGCAGGGGTCCGACGGCGGTCTGCCTGTCGGCGATACCTGGATGCCGTCCGGAGAAGAGCAATCCGGGCCCTCCTCCAAGTCCGACGACAGCGGCGGACGAATATTTGGGCTGAGGGCACCCCCACTTACGCTTCCTGGACAGGAAAAAGGGGAGGTTGGTAGCCGAGGGAGCACTCGAAGGGGAGAGGCCCGTAGCAGATAATGGAAGGGTGTTACGGGCATATTCCGCCCAGACCAGCTGTCGACTCCAAGTGGTGGGATTGGAAGATACTAGGCACCGCAGGGTAGTCTCCAGGTCCTGGTTGGCCTGCTCCGACTGACCATTAGACTCTGGGTGGAATCCGGAGGACAGGCTGGCTGACGACCCGATGAGAGCGCAGAATGCCTTCCAGAACTGGTATGCGAACTGGGGACCCCGATCCGACACCATGTCAGTGGGAAGTCCATGGATCCAGAAGACGTGTTGTATCATACAGTTGGGCCGTCTCCTTGGCAGAGGGGAGCTTGGGTAAGGGGATAAAGTGGGCTGCCTTGGAAAACCGGTCCGCGACAGTGAGGATGACGGTGTTGCCATCGGAAGGAGGAAGACCGGTCACAAAGTCCAGTGACAGGTGGGACCACGGCCGGCGTGGCGTAGGCAACGGTTGAAGGAGGCCGGCCGGAGCTTGCCGCGAGGTCTTACTTTGGGCAGACACCGTGCAGGCGGAGACATAAGAGGGCACGTCCACCCCCATGGTGGGCCACCAAAACAGTCTACGGATGAAAGCAAGGGTCCGGCGAGCCCCGGGATGACACGAGAGGTTGGAGGAATGGCCCCACTTCAGAACTTGAGACCGCATGGGGTCCGGAACAAACAGGCAGCCTGTAGGGACATTCCTAGGGACCTGGCTTGACCGCTGTGCCTTGCGGACCTCAGCTTCTATTCCCCAGACCAGGGATGTAGCCAGGCAGGAAGTGGGAAGGATGCGCCTGGGATCTGGAGGGGTGGTAGCAGGGCTGAAGACTCGAGACAGGGCATCCGGCTTCACGTTCTTGGAGCCAGGGCGATATGAAAGAAGAAAATTAAAACGGCTGAATAGCAGAGCTTACCTGGCCTGCCTGGAGTTGAGTCTTTTAGCGCTGCGAAGGTACTCAAGGTTCTTATGGTCGGTCCAAACCAAAAACGGCAGCTCCGAGCCTTCTAACCAGTGCCTCCATTCCTCCAACGCCACTTTGACGGCCAACAACTCCCTGTTGCCGACGTCATAGTTCCTTTCCGCTGCACTGAGTCTGTGGGAGAGAAAGGCACAGGGATGCAGTTTCTGGTCGAGGGCTGAGCGCTGGGACAGAATGGCTCCCACGCCCACTTCCGAGGCGTCCGTTTCCACCACAAACTGGTGAAAGGGGTCGGGTTGGATGAGGATGGGGGCCGTGGTGAAGCGCTGCTTAAGATCTGCAAAAGCACGAGCCGCTTCAGGAGACCAGCGAAAGCGGACCTTGGTAGAGGTGAGAGCGGTGAGGGGAGATGCCAAGGTGCTGTAGTCCCGGATGAAGCGACGATAAAAGTTTGCGAATCCCAGGAACCTCTGGAGCTGAACCCGGGAGTGCGGTTGTGGCCACTCCTCCACCGCCTTCACCTTGCAGGGATCCATTTGGATGCTCCCAGTTGCAATGATGTATCCCACAAACGAGATAGTGGAGCGGTGGAATTCACACTTCTCCGCCTTAACGAACAGCTGGTTCTCTAGGAGGCGCTGGAGCACCTGGCGGACGTGAGCAACATGCTCCTGGGCAGAACGGGAGAATATCAGGATGTCGTCCAGGTACACAAAGACGCACCGTTTCAGCATGTCCCGGAATACGTCATTGACCAGTGCCTGGAACACTGCAGGGGCGTTGGTCAGGCCGAAGGGCATCACTAGATATTCATAGTGGCCGTTAGCGGTGTTGAAAGCCGTCTTACACTCGTCCCCTTCCCGGATCCGAACCAGATGGTAGGCATTTCGCAGGTCCAGTTTGGAGAAGACCGTCGCCCCCTGAAGGAGCTCGAAGGCTGAGGAGATGAGGGGAAGCGGATAGCGGTTCTTGATGGTGATGTCATTAAGGCCCCTGTAATCAATGCAGGGGCGTAGAGATTTATCCTTCTTGTCCACAAAGAAGAATCCCGCCCCCGCAGAGGATGACGACGGGCGGATAATTCCTGCCGCTAGAGAGCTCTCCATATAGGCCTCCATGGCCTTGGTCTCCGGACCAGACAGAGAGTAGAGACGCCCCCTAGGGGGGGGAAGTGCCAGGAAATAGGTCGATGGCGCAATCATTATGCTTTTGAAGAATGGCCCAGAACCACAGGCACGTGAGGAGAATTTATAAGTAAAAACCTGACGGGCTCGCCATGATTGCCAGAGA